TTAGTTACATCATTTATAACTTAAGAACGCCTGAACCGATTTGGCTGAGTTCAGAACCAGGGTAAGGACATAGGATACTTTTCATCTCTTTATGTTGGAATTCAATACAATTCATAAAAACAAAAATTATATTTCAAATCATAGGCATTTGTTAAAAATTCATGTTTGTAGGAATCATTTGAATATGTATATGCGTGCAATTTTAACTGCAACCAAATGCGCAATAAAGAGCACTTCTCAGAATCAGTTATTCGTTGTTTTTGTTGGATTATGAACTYGCGAGGCACCCAMTTTACACAGAGCTTTCTCATTAACTAATAGTTATAATCCAACTAATAGGAATCATATAGATGGTAGTTGTAGTATTATCTATGTATCAGCCACAGTGAAGCGTGAAAGAGTCTTATAGTATGGTTATAAAGCATAACTTTTCATGCCACATTTCACAGTAAATTTTTACAGAAAGCACAAAATATTTCACATCCAATCTTTAAAGGTATATTTATTAAATTTAATAGAGGTGAACGATTGGGAATCAAATTATACCTTGACACCCTGGCTAAGTAATTTCATTATTCATTCATTTTGATAAGTTTTATTTGAACTGAAGAAAAATATACAGACTTATTAACGGTATACAGACTTTTTAACGGTATACTACAACTATTACGTATGTATGTATCTCATATACGTAGCGTGAATGGCAAAGAAACTTGCTATTAAAACTAACTAGCTTTCAAGTTTCCTGACCTTGAGTTAAGTAACATTTTTTCATGGTCTAATGATCATGGTTTGTAGTGCCTCGCAACCGCAGAACATAAACCGTTAATATCACTGTTGCGTGTTTCAATAATTTTGCCGATGAACTATTTACAGTTTAAAAATGTTTTTAATTTACCAGTATTGCATTTTGTAGTTCTAAGAAGGAACTTTTGAAAATTTTTAAAGATTTGCAAAGCATAACCAAAATTATGTTCAATATGATAAATATATATTTAAATGCAAATAAATTTAGTGTTTAATAAGTTATTTTGAGTAATCTTAAATGATTCTATAAGAATGCGGATAAAACTTATTCATAATAGCAAATGAATTTACAATAAAATATTTATTATTTACAAATAAAGGCGAAAACGTTACTACCGCTTTAAAAACTCAATGGATTTTTCTTGGGGTCTAATTTTGAAAATGATTGGTACAAATATTTGTCAATGGAAAAGAGAATGAGTCAATTTGTCATGATAATAATAACAACGATATTTTTACATACATTAGAAATGTATATTTTTATATATAATTTGTTTTGAATTTTGACATAATTGAGATATAAACCATTCTATATTTTAAGATCGATCAAACTGAACACAGCGTGCTAAAACGGATTCAGTAGTTTGTTTACCGCCGACCAAGACGTGACTGGTAATATAGTATATACATATACATATATACAACATTTATATATATAAAAATAATATTATAAACCTTCATTTTAATTTTGATTAGAGAATTCTTTCCGATCACTAGGTACAAAAGATATACTTTAACGAAAATAAAATTACTGTTTTGAGGCTAACTTTAATATACAATCTTTGAAACATATTTCTTAATTAATCATATTAGTATACATATATAATATGGATCACCGAGCAACACAGCATACCCTAGAATTTTTTTTACCAATTTGACAAGATTCCGTTAAGTTCAACACTAATGCACTACTCAAATTATTTTTTATACATAAATCGAATATGTTTGAGATTTTTTTTTTTTTTTTTTTTTTT